GCTGCTGCTGCTGCTGCTGCTGCTGCTGCTTTTGCAAAGGGGACGGCGCTTCAGGCCTGCTGGGGAGTCTGGCTGAGGCCATCCCGAGGCCTTCAGAGACTCCTCAGCCCCTTCTTGTTTCATTTGTTTTTGTTAACAGAAAAACAAAATGAAAATCTGCTGCAGCAGCAGCAGCAGCAGCTGCTGCAGCAGCTGCAGCAGGAAGCGCGAGAGCAGGAGCAGCAGCCGCAGCAGCTGCTGCGCGCGTCAGGTGTACGTACACCCCGGCGCAGGGACAGAAAATAAAAATAAAAATGAAATGAGCGGAGCCAAAGAAGGAGCAGCAGATAGCTTGAGGTGTACTGACAGCTCAGCAGCAGCAGTCGCCTCGCACAAACAGCAGCAAATAAGGGATTAGTCAAGTCGCCAGAAAGTGCAGAATGCATTCAGGTGTACGTACACCTCAAATTCGCTCTTAAAGACCCTTTTAAGAGCTCTGCTGCAGCAGAACTGCAGCAGCAAATCTGCGGCGGCCTGACCGAGCCGGGCCCCGTCGTCGGCTGCGTGGCGGCCAATTTCGCCCAAATAAAGGCCTTTAAGTTCAATTTTTATTTTGTTTATATTCACGTTTATTATTATTCATTTTTATCCCGAATTTAATCCCAATTCCCAGCTTTTAAACGCCCAAACGCCCCGAGGCGCTCCCCCCGCGCCGCCACAGCGGCGAGCCGACCGCCGGTCACCGCGGACGAGCAGCAGCAAAAGGGCCGCAGCAGCAGCAAAAAAGGACTTCTTTTCTTTTTAAATTGAAATATAATTCCCTTTTTATTATTCATTTCATTTTAATTTCAATTTAGCACTTTCAAAACTCCAAAATACCCACAAAGGCCCGCACGGCCCGCACAGCCAGCCGCGAGCCCGGGTCACCTGCTAGCAGGCGAGGGGCGTTGGCCCCCAAAAAGTTGTCTTCAACAAATTTAAATTAACTTAATTAAATTAAATTAAATTAAATTAAATTAAATTTTATTTTATTAAATTAAACTAAATGAAATTGAAAGAAATCACAATTAAAAGGAATTAAAAATGATACCAATAAGTACAAAAATGTTGTCTATGGCCTCCACGAGTCCCAAACCCTAAACCCTAAACCCTATTCGGGAATTAAGTCAAGCACTCTGCATTTCCCAAACCCTAAACCCCAAACCCTAAACCCTAAACCCCAAGTCGTGGAAGCGCTATCTAGAGACCGACCCTAAATGACAGCGAAGGCTTCGCAGAGCTGCAGCACCCTAAACCCTAAACCCCAAACCCTAAACCCTAAACCCTAAACCCTAGGAGCAGTCACCGGCGGGCCTACCCTTACTTCCGCATGAGTTTAAGCCGCTTCATCTGTTTTCACTATTTAAAATTTCAAAGTGTCCTAAACATGAGGTGCAACTGCTGCAGCTGCTGCTGCTGCAGCTGTTGTTGCTGCAGTTGTTGTTGCTGCAGCTGCTGCAGTTGTTGTTTCTGGAGTTGCTGCTGCTGCAGTTGCTGCTCCTGCAGGTGCTGCTGCTGCAGTTGCTGCTGCTGCAGCTTGGCTTGGCCAAATCAATCCAGCACGAACTGTGGACTGGGAAGCCCCAAACCCTAAACCCTAAACCCTAAACCCTAAACCCTAAACCCCAAACCGCGCACGTTATACCTGCGAGCTTTCCTTCATTCTTGGACTGTTCGGGAGTGCGCGGCCCACCCCACGCGGCAGCGCTAGGGTTTAGGGTTTAGGGTTTAGATGTTGCAGGTCTTGAAAATGCTGAATCCGTCGCTGGCAGTAGCAGCAACAAACCCTGGAATTTGGGGGTGGAAGTGAAACTCTGAAATTTGCTGCTGCCCCCCGTGGACAAACATTAGCTGCTCCGGCACTGCAGCAGCAGCAGCTGCAGCAGCAGCACACGCAGCAGCAGACACAGCAAATAGCAGCCGGTTGCGCACAGCAGCAGCAGCAGCGGCAGCAGTAGCAGCAGCAGCAGCAGCAGGAGGAACGCTTCAAAGCCTCAGCACCTTCATCCTCTCAAAATGCACAATTTTGAAAGCATGCATGCATGCACAAAAATACCATTTATGCAAGTGAAAATAATTTCAAAAAAGACTTTTTCAAATTAAAAAGTAGAAAGATTTTAAAACAATATATCGAAAAGAAAGCCCAAAGGAAGCAAATGGCTGTATGCAGCAGCCAACATATCACTGAGAATTTGAGAAAACAAAATCCAAAAGAGGCACTTAAAAAGTAAATTAAATCTCAAGAAAGACTTTTAAATGTAAATTTAACTTTAAATAAATGCGTTTAAAAGATAAAATGGAAAAACATGAAAAGACGAGCGCGCTTCTGTTTGCGCGGTGTACGTACACCCCAAGTGTCGCAAGTTGAATTAATGCAATTTCGGACTTTTTTATTTATTTTTCTCAAAAGTTTTAATAAATGCGTCAAAAATAAAATAAATGCAGAAAAGTGTCGATTTGGAGGTTTAAATGATTAAAGTGCCATCCAAATGAAAGTTTTGCAAAAATTCGAAAAACATCAAATTTCAACTCCGCGAAATCCGTCTCAAGTGTAATTTTGCAGAAAAGGCCACAAAAAAAAACTTATTGAAAATAAAGAAATGAAATCAAAATTAAAGAAATAAAATCAAAATTAAAGAAATAAAGGCAAAATTAAGTGCATTTCGGTGGATATACACTTGAATTATTCGCCAAAAGACCTGAAAAGGCATCTGCAAAAAAGCAGCAGAAGACGCACTTAAAGAAGCATTTAAATGTTAAACTTTACATAACGTTTAATTTAATTTAATTTAAAATAATTTAAATGATAAATATTTAAATTTAAACAAGAAAACCCCTCTAGGTAAAGCGCGAATCTCTTTGCCCTTTTACACCTTCAGTGTTAAAAAGCCATCTCCTTATTTGCAGTTTTATTATTATTTGTTATTCCATTTTTAATTATTTATCTTTTCGTTTTTTGTTTTTATTTATTATTTCATGTTTATTATTTATCTTGACAATTCGTTTATTATTATTATTATTATTATTATTATTATTATTATTATTATTATTATTGTTGTTGTTGTTGTTTTTACTATTCTCATTATTATTATTTCATTCTTACTATTTGACTTCACGGTTTGTCTACTACTATTTATTATTTCATCTTGAATTATTTTTCTTTTTTATTTTGACTCTTATTTTTATTTTTATTTTTATTTCTTCTTTAGTTCAAACATGTGCATGCACGAGCAGCAGCAAAGACGCAAACAGCGAACAAAAGAGGACAATAATAAAATAAAATTTAAATGCATTTAAAAACAAAAACCACAAGCAGCAGCAGCAGCAGCAGCAAACGCAGCAGCTACCGTAGCACCAATCGCAGCAGTAGCAGCAGCATGAAATCCATCAGCAGCAGCAGCAGCAGCAGCAAACACAGCACCTCCAGCAGCAGGACAGCAGCAAACACAGCACCTCCAGCAGCGCAGCAGCAAACACAGCAGCAGCAGCAGCAGCAGCAGCAGCAGCAAACACAGCAGCAGCAGCAGCAGCAGCAGCAGCCGCACTCTGGACTTCTGCGGGTTCTTCTCTTTCGACAGACAAATCCCAAAAGGTGAGAGAGTCATCTAAACTTGCTGCAGCAAAAACCCCTTCTTCGCTGGGGTGCCACTCCACGCACTGCACACACACCAAACCCTAAACCCTAAACCCTAAACCCTAACCCCCACATGGGAGACCCTAAACCCTCCTGCGAAGGCGCCAAGGGAACCCTTCCTGTGTCGCCGGTCCTGCGGCCGAGACCCTAAACCCTAAACCCTAAGCCCTTATTCCTCGGTCTTAAACCCTAAACCCTAAACCCTGGGCGTAAACCCTAGACCGCCGCCAGGCATCTCCACGTCCCTCCCCGCAGACCTTGGTGCTCTGCGCGGTGCTGCTGCACCGTTAGAGTTTAGGGTTTAGGGTTTAGGATTTTGGGTTTAGGGTTTAGAGCGTTGTGCCTTTTTCGATTCAGGATTTAGGGTTTAGCCCGCGGGCTGTAGGGCGTAGAATTTAGAGGCTAGGGTTTAGGGTTCGGGGCGCTGCGGCTTGCAAACCAGGGTTTAGGGTTTAGGGTTTAGGGTTTAGGGTTTAGGGTTTACGGTGATGGGCTTTTTGTGCCAGTCGATCTGGGCGAGGGGCATTTGCGGGCAGCGGAGGTCCGTGGCAACCACTAGACCCTCTTCTAAACCCGCAAGCACTAAATTAGGGTTTTGAAAAGAAAAAGAAATGGAATTAACATCTGAGTTGTGGGGCCCCAGCAGCGCCGCGGGGTGTACAGACACCCCAACTCGCAGGTCGAACAGCCTGCAGTGTACAGACACCCCAAACCCTCAACGCCACTTCCCACTTCTTCTCGGCCCCCCACCTAGGGTCTAGGGTTTAGGGTTTAGGGTTTAGG